CACCCTGTATAAGGAATCGACCGTTGAGTTCTTAATTCACAAATCTTTCGCGTCGGACAAGAATATCGGCAGCGTTTCCGGTATTAGAATATTGTTTCTGCCTTAACGAAGAGCAGATTCAGTTTCCTCAGAGTGCACGTCTTGGTCGCGTCGGTCACGATAGATTATGGAACGAATTCTAGACTAGTTTCGTGAATTATAAACTCGATAGTATGCGAAAGTTTCAGACAAAAGGAAAACCTATGTAAACTAGTTTCGAATATTTTATTACTCGCATTCTTAGTTATTTTTATTGTTAATAATTGTTTGATTAGTAAATGTTAATTTACTCGCGTCTCGAAATTATATTGTTATTAATATTTCTCGATTAGATTCTCGACCATTATTATATTTTCGTCGTACTTGAATTATTATTATTATTTTCTATTTTATTATGGTTAATTCTAATTTCTAATTATTTATTATTTTTTGTATATTATTTTATTAATATACTTTTCTTTCGAAGGTTTAATTCTCGCCTCGTTATTGACTACACTTTTACTCAGAATCACAGAAATCAAATTAAGCTCAATAGATGGCGCTTTACGCCAATAACTATGGATAATTATTTATTTAATTAATATTTAAGGGAACCCGGACTCCATCCGGCGAGCGAATTCCCAGCAAATAAAAACCCAATCATTACATATGTAAATATCAATTTATACTCCTCCATTAATTCATCAAAGGTGTCGATTTAATTCTTATATTGTTTCGAAACCTGACATTTCATGAATGTCTGGTGAAAGTTTCAAGTCGACATACGAATAAATGACGAAGTTATAGTCAGAAAGTTGGTGTACTGCTTTTTCAGCATTAGGTTTCAGTTCTTTTTTTTATAGGTATAATAAAAAAACTGTTTTTCCCTTTAACACAATAGTGATTATATAAATAGTAAACAGAAACCTATACTAAAAATAGATTTACTCTTATTTGCAGAATCTTTTTGTATTGATTTGCACCATCTGCTAAAGAAGTAGAATATAAAATCATGTTTTCATATGCAACTGAAATGTAAACATCTTCCTGCTTTGATGAAACTCAGATGCCAATTTTTTATCGTAGTAATAGCATTATACTTGCAAATCCTTATTTTTCAGAAAATGATGGAAGTTCTCTTAAAGTGAGATTATAAGAAAATCGATAGACAAGTTATTACATTATTTTTCTAGACAAAAGAATTACTATTTTTTTCATTAATTTTTTTATATAATTGTTAGCATAATTTAAATATATTTGTCGATATGTTTAATTAAAAAATATTATAAAAGATAAAATAAAATAGAATTATTAGCTAAAGTTAGGTGACACATACATTGTGACGAATAAGAATAAAAAAAATTTCAAAAGTAAAAAATACTTGTAAGAGTTATAGGACTTATGCCAAATTACTTACTTTATTCATTGTTGCCTAATGAGGTAAGAAGAAGGCAAAGATGAAAATTAAAGTTTGAAACGAGCAAAAGCTGGTTAATTGTTTCGAGGTCAAGATTCACTTTGCCAAAATGAGAACACCTTCAATCATTGAGTTGCAGCAAAGGAGTCAAGGGTGGTTTTGCGGCCTGTTGTTTTAAGTCAAAAGGTAAAGAAGTAGGCCAGCCTCGATCTCGAAATCTCATGTAAACATAATGAAATGCTCACTTTCACTTTGCCTCTTTATTCAAAATTTTTTGAACATTCAAATTTCAACACAAAAATTCTTGTATTTCTAAATATTTTTTTTCTCGTATTTCAATATTTTCAAAGATGATAATTTTTAACAATTTTGAAGTATATTTTTATATTTTTCCAATTTTTTTGTTTCATAATAAAAATAACACTATTTATTTTTGTCAATATATAAACTATCCATTGGAAAATGAAGAGAGCAATTTGAAAGCTGATAAAATAATGAAAACTTTAATAAATTGACCTGAAATAATGAAAATGAGAATCTATCAAATGTATCTGGCTTTTACGAGATATTTGATAAAATAAATCATGGATATTTCGATAACGGATGGTTGTAAATCCGTATCAAAGCGGAATTGCGAATGAATCATAATAGCAAGATTGAAAACCGCTCTGAACGACTACATATAAATCAAATTCATCAATCAAAGTAATAAACATCTGCAAATGTTTGCAAATATCATTCACAATGAAACAATAGACATTTGTAAAAAGCACAAGCATTTAGATTCACATGATGGAAACGGTTTATTTTCAGTATTGACAACGAAGTGCAAGAGTGTAATTATAAATTGATTTCTTAAAAGTCTACATAAGAAATAATTGTCTATTGGAAGGAAAAAAGCTAGAGGAATATAAATGTTTTCATGATGTCCATGAACAATAAAAAGTTTAAACATTTTTGGCTAAAGCTCCCCTGGGACGTGGTTAGTCTTCTTCTTCTCGTCAGCACGCAGCGTGACCCATCTACCGATTTACAATCTTTGTCTATATGGCCATAGTCAAGACACCTATGACATCTTGCTACCATAACTCTTTTCGGCACTGGCCCAGATAAAAAGCCAACCTCTTATGTAGCCGAGAGGCACCAGCTTCACTGCATCTTGCTGTGTGGTTACTACAATAGCAAGCTTAACACCTCGCTTATTAGGTCCCAGGACAGTTACCTTTCTGCTTCCTACTGGCATTGCGGAAACTCTATCCAGGGCCTCCTGGACATCTGTTGGCTCTGTAAGACAATCCAGATCGCGGATCTCGAAAGTAGTTGGCCGGTCTACAATCTGCACCTTACCCAGGTCACCAATCACCCTAGTCACCTCATTGGTAAAAGTCTCCTTATCAGAAGAACCCCTAAGTTTGATAAAGAGATCTCCCTTCTTGGTGGGTACAGCTTCCATACAAATCGTATGGCTTTTTTCTAGGTTCACTTCTTCACGGATCTTTTTGAGAACTGCTGCGAACATCGAACCTTCAGTTACTTTAACAATCATTGATGACCTCTTCTGTAGCCTTCCTTCTTTCTGTGTTTTGTCCTTCGGCTTTTTTAGATGGTCCTTCATTCTTCTTCTTTGAGTTTTTAGTCAACTCAGGACTTGATCCTCTTCCGCTTCTGACCTTCCAAGTAGCATCCCTATTCATCTTAGACGTTCAAATAGTCCTAATGATCCCTAGACGGATAGCTAGAGACAGTTTTGGTCAAGGGTTTTTTATATGAATCGTAATAGGAAGATAGGTGCTACAATCACTTAATGAGAAATCCACACCGTCTACCGGTGATATTACTATGATATCAAGGAAGAGGCGTTCTGGGCACTAACTTTTATGCTTGATGAGTAAAGCTCGATACTCCATTTTATTTTACTTTGGACAATCGCGGTGATACCGGATTTCTTTCTCGGCAGCCAGACACGAACTGGTGAAATTAGGTTAATTGACATCCTGCTTCCGTTCCATATATAGGTCATGCGCACATTAGTTCGCCCCTGCAGCATGATCACAGGCCCAATATCTATGACAGGTAATTGTCTCCGATTAACAGTTGTGCCAAGTAATCTCAATTGTTGTTGAACATTTTTGGTCGGTTGATAATTAAATAAATTTACGATTTACATAATGTGTATTACTGTCAACCAAATCGTGTAGAATTCTCTTTAAATTAATAAGATAATTCTTTACAACTTGTTGTGAGAGGTGTACAAATAAATTCTGTTAACTTATCTACTTTGCATACAACCATGTTGTTCATTAATAATAAAGTAGATTGAATAAACATAGAATGAAGTATGGCTATCAAGGGTTTTGGGGATTTTACTCGGGATTGTTACAGTTCTATAATAACGACTGTTATACTCATAATTCTAAATTATGTTCACTTTACGCTTAATGCCTCTTAAGTAACAATGAATTTTGTTATGTTTAAAATATTACTATTTGGTAAAGAATAATATTATCCCTTACAGTAACTACTTAATTAACAAATCATAAAATTTATTATTATTAATCCAAATGGCCGATAAATATTAAAGTGGAATAGAAATTCAATAAACTATAAAAATTTACCATTAATTATAATTAATGGCAAATTTTTATAGTTCATTAAATTTCTACCAATTAAATGAATATTTAATGCTAAAAATATAGGTACTAATTTAAAAAAAGTATATTACGATACAATCTTAAAATATATGCTTATATAAAATAAATTGTTAAAAAGCGAATTGCAGTTAAGTAGCACACCACGTAAATATGGAATTGAATAGCTAATTTCTGTAAATGATCTCATCATTATTTTAATAGCTCAAAATCAGTATATAGTACTTTTGCGCAGATATATATATATATTTATAGCGAGAAATGTTCGACTCATTACACTCTATCCATAATAATGGAACTTTTAATTGCACTTTGTTGATTAAAAATTCTATCAAAATTAATATTTAAAACTCAACTATTTACACTTTTTGTTACTTTTAAATAATTTTATTTAAGTAAATAATTTATCAAGCAAAAATATTTTAAAAATAAATTCTTCTCTCTTTACTCTTTTAACAAAAAAACATATATGTAGCCTCAGTAGGATTTTACCCTCGATTCTATATATTGTATTTCAAGTGTAGAAACCTCAATACTGCAATCAAGCAGAATTTACAAGCGAGGGAAGAATAAACTCTCTTTCTATTTATAGGAACAAAAAGAGCCATAAATATTTTCTTTCGATTGCGTTTTACATTTTTTAAATTAAATCTTTAAAGGATTTTATTAAAATTATTCTGTGTTTAAGTTTGTAATTTAAATATAGATATTTTTAAAAATCAATAGACAATTACAGTTTTAGAACTGCTGGACAACAATAAGTCACTTGTGAAATTTTATAACCCAGATACTCGTATTAAGAAGCGCAGGCCTTTCGTTTTTTTTCTATCTGTCTTTTCTTTGTGTACCTCTAATTTATTCTAAGTAATTCGTCAAAAATAAATTTTGATATAGAATGAAAATTTTTTTTGTTCCAGAACTAAAAAGCCATGGTGAACAGAAGTTTGGAGACAGTTGTAAAGATGACACAGACTGTGGATTTGATGGGTCAGAATGCAATCCTGAGCAAAAGAAATGTTACTGCCGAAAGGAATTCACTGTTACAAATCACATTGACAAATGTGGAATGCGTGAGTATTTTGTTAAAACTTTTTTCTTTTTTACTACAAATTTTTAAATATTCCAAATAATACGCCTACTAATTGAAAGTTCACAGGTTATTGTTTTCATTTTATATCGTAATGGTTTTAGTTTAATGCATTAAATACATAACTAAAATAAGAAGAGTAAATACTTTATTAGAAAAGAAAATTTTTGTCTAACACTTTTGAACTTTAAGTCGTAATTTTTTTTTGTCTCACAAGACCATAAAATATTTTTAATTTCTTTAAAATTTTTATTGTTGCTTCGACCTCTTTAAAAAAATGTTCAGTGGTGTTACGATCAATCATATAGTACCCAGAATGCTAATCAATAATGTGCAACAAGTCTAAAGTGTTTGTTATGAAACCAATTATTACCTCACCTTATCACACAGAAAATCAACTTTCCACCTAGTTTCTTAGAGGTGAGTGAGTAAAAGAAAACCTTTCTTATATAGACGTTAGAAAATATTTTCCATCTAAAAAGAAATTTATTTTTTGAAAATTCTAGTTGCATAGTCCACTACATAACGGCTTAATGATATGATGATATGAATTTGAAAAAGTGCCAAGTAGGATATATAGAAGTAGACATTCTAAACTAAAGTTATAATTTTCTAAAAAAATTTTCCTAAAATTTACAGCTGCCAATATTGACGAATCGTGCTACTTCCATGAACAGTGTCAAGGAAAAGTTCCACAAACTGAATGTCGAGATGGACTTTGTTCTTGCGTCTTTGATAAAATTCCTAGGTTGAATGATGACAATACTATAGAGTGCATCGGTAATATTTGAAAATATTTTTTTTTAATTTAAGGCCAATTAGTTATTGTTATTTTAAAAGTTATTAAAAATATCATAAATAATATAATTCCTTACCTATAGTCAACTTTTTAGAAGATGTGAGAAATGGATCCTACCTTTTTTCTTATAGTTTAAGCTTAATATAAATGGTTTGAGTCTTGGCTAAAAAGTGTCGGTAATAGTCGGTGCAGGGATCTGTAGATAGAACGTTCTCTGTCTTTTAATTGTTATATCAACTATTTTAAATATATCTTTAATTATTAACTAAGAATCAATTTTTTTGTAATATAAACTAAAAGTCAGTTGGTCAGTTGCTCCCATACATTTCTCCAAATTAATTTTATCAATTTGGAATTGCAATGAATGTTCGATTAACCAAATATCTCTAATCTCGAAAGCAAATTTAATAAAATACAAATTACATTTTCGGGAGGATTCAATGCTTCGAAATGTGCCACCTGTTAATAAAATTGATGTTCGATAAATTTCTCACTCGATAAAATTGATTTAGAGTAATGACAAAAAATCAAACGATTATTTAAAAGATATATTTTTATGAAAAATTACATTTTTATAGATTTACCACCGAGAGAAATTAAGAAGATTGGCGACAACTGTAAGACTGACAGTGAATGTGGATTTTTTGGAGCTCACTGTAGTAGTGATCATAAAAAATGTTTCTGCAGAAACGAATTCCTCACTTCGAATCAAATTGATAAATGTGGAAATCGTGAGTTTTCTATTTGATAGGAATTGTAGTCAGTGGATGTGTTGTAATATTTTTTAGAAATATAATGTGTATGTCAAATTACAATTACGATGATACTTAATTTTTTTAACGTCCTTATTAATTTAATAAAAGAATTTTAAACAAATAATGACAAAATAGTTTTATAATTATTCCATTTTGCAAATTTCTAATAATCTATCATACCCTTTGTAATTAAATTCCACTCAATATTTACTGTTTAAAAATATTTATTATTAATATTAAAAACTCATTTAATCAAAGTTTTAATCATCCCACATTTCATTCAACTTTTTCACCAACAGAAAACATAATTTATTTTCCATTAAAAGAAAAGTTTGATGTAAATTATAATTTGACAATTAATAAGTTGCATTATTATAATTTTCCTTCTGGTCTCATTTGTTTGTCTATTATTATATCTTATTTGCTTCGTTCAATTTATAGTTTCTATTCAATTATTTAAGTTTAATTGAAAATGCACTTTGTTTGTGAGAACCAGAATATAGACATTTAAACAGTTGAAAGTACTCTTCAGTGTAAATAAAAGTTGAATATCACATTTTCATAGCAAAGAGCACTTTACGCAATTTGAGAGGAAAGTGAAGCCTTTGGTATTTATGGTAACTTATTTGCAAAACTCTTTGGAAAACTTTACCAATAACGTTAAATGTTGAATAAACAAAAATTTTATAGTCGATAAGTAAAATAATGTTATCCAATCTCAATGAATTCTTATAAATTATTTCTTTATTTATCTGAGACAAATCATTTAAAAAAATATCTTATCCCATTCGCAATATAATTATGGGTATTGTCTAATAAAATTTACTGAATTATCCAATGGAATAAAGCTAAGTATTATAGAGTTGCATAAAAGTTAAGATCATGCTTACTGCACAATTAAGTCAAATATCTTTTAATTAATATTCTAGTTAGAGTTGTCTTTGTCTAAAAAGTGCAATTGTAAAAAGTATCTTTTATTTTTGCTGCTTACATTTTTATTTGCAAAGAGAAAAAACTAGTTACTATGGAATAAAACTATTTAATTCTTTTATAGCATTTGACATCACTTACATACCATCATCGTGATTGAATTTAAGTACTTCAAAATACCTTTGGTACTTAAGTGGTGATCAGACTTACATTAATGCTCGTACATTAATGATGGTCTGAGAAATGTTAGTCTTAAGAGTTACAAGTTCTAGCAATTACAGAACCCAAAAATATAATAATACTGAGTCTACAGTCAAGAAGTTTATGTTTCGATAGGTTAACGAAGTGTACTGCTGTAAAAGCTTAAAGTAGTTTTATGCCGTAATAACTAGTTTTTTCTATCCAATTACTCATTGCTATTTTTATTTTACTAGCCTAGATTATATGCTTATGTTGTATTTTGTGTATACTCAGGTATGTAAATTTCTTACTACACTTCCATTAATCTCAAAAATCATTTTAATTTTGTGGGGGTTATTCACATTTCACATGATGCATATTTCAGGTACCCACTCATCCTTTTCCTAGGTAATACTCCTTTTATTATTTAAATATAAAAATTATATAAATATTAATACAACAGGAATTGTTACAGTATCCTCTCCTAATTTCCTTTTTGCATCTATTGAGTTCTCTTTTTTGTGCATAGAGACTTTTGGGAAATCAGTCTACAGATAACTTGCATTCCGCAATCCAAGATTATGTGGGGTATAAAAGAAACATAAATAAACAAACTTAATTTACATAGCTGGCAACCTACTGCCAGCCCTGACCCTCTAAAACTCGTAACCCTTCTGACTCCGCAAACTCCACTGCCGGCTATTTATGGTTCCTGCTTCCTGGCTTCTTCAAGGCATCAGCCAACACTTGTTGGACCTCTTCTAATTGGGTAAGACAATCCAAATCGCGGATCTCCAACGTTACCCTTCAATCCACAGATTGCACCTTACCCATGTCTTCCAGCGCTTTGGTAACCTCCGCAGCGAAGGCTTCTTTATTGGAGTCGCCTCTGATTTGAATCAGGAGGTCTCCCTTCTTTGCAGCCCTTGCAGCTATGACTCTTGTGTGGCTGACGTGCGGGTTAATCTCCTTGCGAAGCTTACCCAAAACGTCAGCATACGTCTTACCCTTAGCGAGTCTTATTTATCGCCTCATCGTCTAGCGATATGTGCTGTCCTTCCGCTACTGCAGCTCATCACACTCAGAAGACTCGACGCGCTTTCTCTTCTCAGTCTTTCTCCTTTCACGATGTTCTGTGAATCCAATCTCTTCACGATTACCCGTGGAATTGCAAGAAATTGTGCACCCTCACAATCTTTGCGCACTTGAGTATTAGTCGTAAGAGTGGAGATGAGATTTTCCGTTTTCGGCCTGCTCACATGGGGTACTAAATGTTAATTCTTTGATTCCATTCTTGCTGTTTGGTTGTCCTTTAGTGAAAAACCCCGCCACCACGACAAGGTCTACCGTACATATCCATGATGTCAGTCACGTTTGACAGTGGACAAGCACTACCCAACATATCGATGACATCTATTATGTTCAGCAGTGGACAACCATCGACGGTGGAATTTCCCTTGTATTACTGTCATTTCGAATTTAATTCCCTTAATTTAATGCCCTGTTCGTCTTTTATACCTAAGTTCAGAAACATAAAACTTATTGGTCAGGAGTTGGGGTAGTAAGGCAAGCGAAGTCTCCGTTGGGACTAATATTCAACAGTAGGGGAGCGATCACCTGAAACTCGATAAGATCAGAGTTATAAAGGCAATTCGTCTACTTACGGCTCATGGTCTTTTGAATTGTCATCAGCATAAAATAGGTAGACAAGTAACACCTATGTGCAGATTGTGTAAGACGTGCAATGAAACAGCGGCTCACATATTATCTGAATGCCAAATGTTGGCTAGGATCATATATTCTAGCTGGGAACAAGCAATTTATTAATAATGTGCAGGTGGAGAAATTATCGATAGAAGGGATAACGAACTGGAGTTTAGTGCAATGGGTATTAACCTAAGTGTATACTTTCCGTATTTGATAAGCAAATTGGTATAAATGTTTCACCTATTACCTATTTAACATCTCTAATTTATTGAGCTTTAAAAAAATGCTTTTAATTATAGAAGCAAAATATAAACTTGAGATAAACTTTTATAGAGTTTAAATAATCCATAAAATACATTTGACATTTTTTATGCACCAGAGAGTATGGAACGGAGAGAAAGTTTAAAAAGAAATATTACGTACTAAATTTAACTTTTTAGAAGATGTAACTAATGTATCGTAAACCAAAAAAAATGGGCAATTAAATAAGTTAATATAGTTGTATATCCTGTAACGGATTACTTTCTACTGCTTGAAAGTTTCTCTAAACTCAGGCTGCATAAATGTCGATTAATTTAATTTTTAAATTATAAACCTTATGATTTTGGATAAACTGAAAATATGTCTACTTACCAACATTAGGGAACCCCTTTTTTTAAATAATTATTAGATGCCTGATATTATATGATTAACAATATTTTTCAGCTTCGAACGTGAATGAATCATGTGACTTCAACGAGCAATGCGAAATGAAGGTACCACAAACCGAGTGTCGTGATGGCCGATGCATTTGCATATTTGAGAAGATTCCTGTACTTCAAGATGATGGAACTACAGTTTGTATTGGTAAATGCATTAACTTTTTTAAATGTTACACACTGTTCTTAAAGCGACGGCAGCTTTTTAAGTGATCCTATATACCTTGCCTGCACTAACAATTTCCTCAGTTCGCTGTCGACCGATCTCGAGGCTTCTTCTGACTAAACCAATTCTTCGAAGATATATTTACCATCCTCTTGCTCTGTTTTGTGTTTAGACTAATTATTATTCATTTTTGTAGCCGAAATCAGGGAACCTCCAAATTTACGAACTGTCGATCCAGCAATGATTGGAGTCCTCGTTGGAATGGCTTTGATGTTCATCATTATTTGTGTCGTTCTTAGACTTTTTAGCAAGTAAGTATATTCAGAAAAAAATATGATAAATTGTCAGACAGTATGATGGTGTCCATTTCAGAAGTCCTTTAATTATTAGTTACTGAATTCAAAAAACTATCAGTTTGAAAAACTATTAATATTTGTAAACTATGAGAATTTTTATATAAAATTTTTTTTATTTTTAGAGCACGATGGAGGGAAAATCGCACCATCTTTAATACACCAAATGCTCGTCTGATGAACGTCTCATTATTGAAGGACAACAAACTTCTTCATGGACAAGAAAGGCGCGGATCACGCGCCAGTGTCAGAGGACCATCACGACAACCATCAATGGCATCCTTGCGCGCGCATTCGCCAAACGCCTCGCAAGGTGCGAAACACTCTCAGCGAGTGAGCCGTACGGGTTTTTATTCATTCACTTATTAAGCAAGCGAGTTTATCCGCCCTCGTTAATAGAGAAAGTGACTTCTATCAAATATGTAGGTACTCTTTCTGTAGCGCCATAAGTGCCGACCAACAGCGTCAAAAGTCGACGTTATAATTATTAAATTATTAAAAAATTGTTAAGGGATCTAAAGAAGAGTTATATTAGAATCTTCTTATTAATAATGTAATAGGTGCATAGGGATCTTTCTAACTTATTTATTGTTGACCCTGGCAACCTTAAGGGTTGATCTGAAAACTCCACATGCACTGTAACCGGCTAAGTGGTTTTCGTTCATAATGATCAGCTTCGTCTAACTTAAAGTGTGCAACAGGTCTAATAGCAGTCTTATGCAGTTTTAATCGAGGCATAGATAATACCTAATTACCATATGTCCCTTTCTGATGAAGCACAACATAAAATTTATTATTATGCGTCTCAGCTTTTCCAGTTTGTCCGCTTATTCTTGCTCGATGACTATAAATGCAAACTTTATACTCCGATTGATGAGTTCTAAGACCGTCACTTTCGAGTTTTCTGATTTCTTCAGAAAATTATCCAGTGTTCAGTGTTTTATGATCTAAAAACGTTTTTAGAATATAGGACGTTCTGGAGCCGTTATGTAGCGGACATGAAAAGTATTAAACACCTTTTAGAAACGTTTCCGGAACAAAGACGTTTTTATGCCCACTGGGGTCCTCTTCTATAATTTGCAAAAAATTTGCTTTCTCATATTAAAACACAATTGACGGTCTTCCATTATAGCCTCGTCATCTAACTCTGTTGGTACAAGACTACACAAACTTTTCCCACAATTTTCGATAAGCAGGCAATAAATATTCTTCTTCTTTTCTTCAAATTACTCTTATCTCGCCTTTTCACGATTACCTGTGGAACTGCAAAACATTTTGAAAGAAAATAACTTTAAGCCAATTTGCGATTTCGGTTAATGTTGCCAAGAACAAATTAAGTAGGTCACTTAATCACTTAAGTGGGTCACTTTATTGCTGTTTGCGAAAAATTTTAACCTCGATGTTTAAACAATGATGATCGTATATGATCCTTCATAATTACTTCCCTACTTATTTAAATAAATGTTTTCAAAATAAAATTAATTCTTCGTGTCGGCACTTATGAGTAGAGAAGATTTCTACCTCTAGAACAACTCGACTGCTTCAAATTTATGAGAATATTAAAACAAGATCCAGTATTTTAGATTTGATTACCGAAAATATTCGAAAATAAATTAATCCTCAGTTTCTAAATTAATATTCTTGAAAAATACTAGATTTGTCTCATTTTTAAAATTCTCATTAATTTAAATTGCATGTACATACTATTTCTATAGCATGTTTTCTATTAAATTTTTATAATAAATTTATTAACATAACTTTTCTTCATTACTAAAATTTTCTTCATTACTAGCACACATTTCACTGTTTTGAAAATCGTTTTTTATTATTTAGATGATGTGTTTAATCAAAATAGAAAACTCATTTTTTCTAAAAAATATTGTTTTCAAGTTCACTTAAAATTTTAAACACACACCGAATCATTTGCAATTGTAATTAGTCCCATAGAATTTTTAATTAATTTTTAGACGAAACCCTTCAGCAAGTGAATGCTTTACTGGTGATATCATAACCTTCTTCGCAAAAACATTCAACAGTTTTCATTGTTTTTATCGCGATTTTCAATTTTTTCGAGACAATACTCACTCGAATTGCATCACTAACATTAATTATAAAATTTAATGAATGAATATCTGCTCAGAACTCATTCCCTTTGTTTTCTATTTATTTTCCAACTATCAACTTTTTCAAATTCATTTCCAACACTTTAATAATTTTTCACTAATGTATCTATAGTCTTTTTTTTTAATAAATTATTCATCTGTATTTTTAGCATTATTTCCATTAAGGCGCATGAAATCTTTATGAGTTTGCAAAAAATTACAATCGCATTATGCTTGCCAGCAAATATATGTATATCAAATCATTTTTTAACTTTTAAATCTTCGTATTTAATGTCTAATTTGAAAAAAATTTTTGACTAGGAAAAGCATAACGCAACAGGAGAAAATAGGGTAAGTTCACTGGTTTCCGGACGCGTATCAGTGGTCGGACGAAAATTTAAGAAAAACGATATTTTTCTTCATTATTTAATAAAAAAAAAAATCGCAGCACAGAAAATAAAGATTAGTATCAATTTCAACTAATCAATTGTCCGAACATACAATCGTTGTCCGTCCACCGGTGCGTTTACCCTAAATATGTTTTAAATATTCTCAATATCCAAAACTACCCTAGTAGAAATTTGTCGTGGCATGACTAGATTTATTCAAGTTACTGTACAGTTTTAGTCATGGAAGTTTAATCTAGCTTAACTGGCGAATTACTAGACAGCTACTGCATAACACTGTTAAAGAAAATATAAAGTTGAACTTGATTATTACTGCATAGAAGTCCTGTACAGTTATTTTCATGGCACTGTCGAGGCGTTCCGAGAAATGATGTTCCAAAGTTTGTCGTGGCGTTAGCGCTACCGCCAGTTTCAGTAACTAAACAGTTGTGTATTGACATTTTCGAAATATTTTCTATAAAATAAATCTTTTGGTTTTACAGTTTATAGTTTTTATAATTTTAATTTTGTTCTTTTATTTTACTGTTGACAACTAAATAACAAATTTTTTAAATTATTTAATATTAAAATTTTGATTTAATAATAAAAATTTCTTTTCAATCAAAATTTATTTTTAATGAAAATTCCTTTAGAAAAAAAAAATTTTTTTAAAATTCGCTTCAATTAATTGAGTTAATTAAAATAACTAATTTTTTAAATTCAGAAGACAATTTCTTTTCAAGATTATATACTCTTATTATATGTATAAATATTAATTTAACAAACCTGTTACATACAAAAAGTTAGAATTGGTCCAATAAAGTGAGGTTATGTTTTACATTGATGAATTGACGTTGACATATGTATAGCTCTCCGATCTGAATAACAGAACTGTCTATAATTAATGACAGTAGACAGTAACAATTTATTACTAATTCCTTACGGAAAAAATAGACATAATTCTAGTTACACCCGCGAATTATTTCTTTCAGTGTATACTCTGATGTATTTATGGAAAATGTCTACACAACACTGTTCAGTTGCTGGACTGACGGTAGCGCTAACGCCACGACAAACTTTGAAACATAATTTCACGGAACGCCTAGACAGTACCATGAGAATAACTGGACAGACAGAACTTCTATACAGTAATAATCAATAAGTTCAACTTTAGAGTGTTATGCAGTAGCTGTCCAGTAATTCGCCAGTTGAGCTAGAAAAGATGAAAAAGGGAACTGCTTTACCTGCCGGTAGAGTATGGTTCTTATTTTTCCGGAATCGTCCATCGACTAGAACGGCCGTGATGCGTAAAGCGTGCGTTTAGGTATTTCGTCCCAGTGTGACCCGAGTTCGCTCCCCGAAACCGCTAGATATTTTTCGTTTGAACTGAATTAATTCTTCATATTAGGGTTTACTTATAAGTTTGTAGTGTGATAAAATAATAATATTTATTTCAGTGTTGTGCTTAATTAAAGGAAAAAGTGAATGTTGTTTAATGTAAAAAAATGACATGTGTTCAAGAATCAGTAATTTTTATATTTTTTTTTAATTATGTAGTTATTTAAAAATAATTTTACAGATAATTTATTATAAATCATTTATTATACGGAACAATAGATACACCAACAGTAAAAATATAGTTTCGTAAAATTTTAATTTATTTAATTTGTTGACAAAAAAATTTAACGTTATATTTTCAAATTTGTACGTGTTTAATACGTAACGTCAATATAAAGAAAGTTTTGACATTTCCAAGTGAATTATTTTGTATAGTTTTTCTACAGGACTGATGATCAGAAACTGTAAAATTTGACTGGACAATAACTTGAAGAAATTAGCGTGACATCACTTTATAGTTTTTAGCCAGTTTAACTGTAAAGTGCCTCGAAATTTTCCAGTGGAACTGTCCAGTGCCCTTAAAGATACTATGACAAATTTCTACTAGGGTATTTTTATACTATAAAATATAGTACGTTCTATTTCAATAATTGTTCCATTGACAAAACGACTATTAGATATTGTAAACATTTTTTAATTAAAACTTTCATTTGTCCTAATTTCTTTTTGACACAGTTTATATTCTATTGAATTATTTTCAACCTAATTTTCAATTAAACAAACTTTTCTAAAGCGAACTTTTATTTAAATATGTTTGACTAAATGAATTTTTGACTTTATTTTTATTATTTTGTATTATTTAAAAATAAAAGACTGTATTTATTAAAATTGCTTTCTGACGACTGTCTTCTTTTGGAACAATTTTAGAAAAAAAAGACCTAATTTATTAATTTTATTTTTTGTTTTTAAATATTCAAAAAGGCGCGTAATAATTTTTAAATTTAATTTATTTTACTGATTATTTGGTATTCAATTTGACAAATTTTTTTGTGGATAAATTTAAATTTGCTATCCAATTATTATTAAAATATGAATAGTTTTTTATGACGATAATAACTTTACAAGCGGAGTTAAACAGCTGTTAGAATTAAATGACCGTAAGAATCTGCTCATTTATGGTAGCTCTTGAGAATTATATTGTTTAAATAATTGACAGTGGTGAATGGCAATAAAGACGAAAGTTAAAGGAGAAAAATTAAGCAAGTTCTATAAATGTAAATTATACTAATTTAATCTATTTAGTGACCTTCTTGGCATCTCAATTACCCTACAATCTGCTTTGAAATTTGCTACCTACTTCTTAATTAAACCCTCGCGGTGCAAGAGACTTGTAAAATTTAATGTAAAATGAAAAAAAAGTTAATTAAAGAAAAAGGATCATTTTTATTTTCCTCGCAAAATTTTTACCATAATTATCATATTTAAAGTTTCTGAATTTTCTATGTTCTCAAAATTGACATTTCTATGAAGGGAAATTATAGTTTTTCAAAAAAAAATTGAGCAATTTAAAAAATCCCAGTAAATTTTGAAAGCTAAATAGATGCAGTTTAAGGGAAAAGTGACTTAAGAACTGTGCCTTGAACTTTAAGTAAAAAAAATTGATTTTTTACGGTCTGAACTAAGATAGGGGCGCCACTACACTGTTATACAGCCCTTAGCTAACTTTCTATTCGCCGCGTTCTCATGCGTCCACGCCTCCCCCCCTCTTTTCCTAACTCTCGACTATATAAGGCAGTCACGCAGCACAAGTCTATAGGGATTCTCTCCGATTCTTTCGAAGCGGTCGTATCGCACTGAGCTCCCAGTAAATGAAATAATACTCTAAATTAAAAACAATGAATACTAAGAAATTAATTTTTCAAAAATATAAATTTTCCCCTCCGGAAAAATAAATTAAAATTTTTTGCTTTCGTGCTTCTTTATAATTTATTATATTTAATTTATTATGTTTGTTTATTTTAACAAAATTTTTCAAATGGCAGTAAAAAAAGTAAAAGAAAAATGATGAAAACTGATTATTTATTGTACTTTGTAAGTAAATCGTTTCTGTCACGATTTTTACTATAATTTACGATAACATTTTTTACAATTTTTTTTTAATGTTCCATAAAAAATAAATTTATTTTTTCGATTAGAAAATCAAAACAAAAATAAATTTTCTTTGGAATATATTTTGATGAATAAAGAAATATCAATAAAATAATGCCATTTGGGGAATTAATTTTTTTTTTTTTTTTTTTTTTGCTAGCTGTGCTTTCTCATCGCTTCTATATCGTAGAAAAATCGTTATTTTCACAGACGTGGTACAAGATACTCGAATAACAAAGCCTTCGTTGCCAGGGTCTCGTGCAGGATCACGTCGTGGGAGCCGTGGAAGCAGTGGGAACGCATCGGCAGTTTCCAATAAATCCAATAAATCGCCACCCAATAATAATACACCAGCTGATCCAGCAATGGAGGACGTCTCAATCAAGATTCTCGAGGCCAAGGCATAAAACAAATATTTCGCGAGCCCGTCTTCTATACATTTAATTAATTATATAAATATATTACAACAAAAAAAAAATCGCATTTTATGTAGATGAGAATTTAAATGAATTTACATTGAGTTTGAGGTGCGTATTTATATAAAAAGAGAAAGTTTGACCTTGAGAACAAAAAATAGGTGGAGGGGATGGGGATAAGAAGGAGAAAGAGAAGCGTTACCTCTTTCTCTCTCTCATCTCCCCCCCCCACTTTAACTCACATTGACTCCTCCTATAAGCGTAATTTAAACTCAATTAAAATCCATTCATAACCCAACAGCTTCGAATTGAAACGCTCCTAAATGAATTTAATCTCAAATAAAAAGCTTTCAAAGAATCTCACTCTATTAGAAAAAAAAATAACGATTTTTGTTTCTTTTATTTCTTTTAAAGCAAAAATTGACAATTGTGGGTATTATATCTGATATATAAATCCCGAATTTAAAGAATTTAGCAAAAATTTTCAAAAAAAAAAAAAAAAGAAACTCATTAGCGAAAGTAATTGAGTAGAAAAATTTACTTTGGAGCCTCATTATTAAGCTCCCGTGCAAATTTATTCGTCTCTTCTGTCAATAATAAAATTATTGCTAATTAGAATATATTTAGAATTTCAGAATTAGTTTCTATTAGTATTAGATTTTTCTACCACTTTATTTCTCTGAAAATTTTTTTTTTTTTTCAATTTTCACCAAAAATGTACTGAACACGATGATTCTTTCTGGTGACCAATTAAAATAATTAATTTAAAGTACGAAAAATTTTCACCGCGGATATGAAATTGTAAAGTTTGATTAAATTCTACTTTCATTGACATTTAACAAAAAATAATTTTATCGTGTGAAAGATGAATTTTTTTTTTAATTTACAAATTTTGTTGAAAATGAATAATGGATTTTTTTTTAAGTAACTGGGTTTTTAAATTATATTTGGAAAAATTAATTTTATCAGAAGTGAAAAATGAAAAAAAATGTGAGAATGATTTGAAAATATTTTATCAATATTGCATTCCATCAATCATAATCTGGGAACACGTGTATTTAAAAAGCAAACAAAAAAAAATAAAAAAAAAATCTCAAGAGCCACACGAAGGGACCAGATGAAAGTGAAAATTTTGGAAGTAATTTATACACCAATTTTTTCTTCTGTCCCATTTAAATCCTGAAAACTCAACTTGAAATTTAGATTGTACCTCTTACTATAATAAAGTCTAGATCTTAAGCTTTGTGATAAGCCTAATGAAGCAACTTTTTAGAAACTAATATATAAAAAAATCTACTTTTTTTATATATCTTCAGATAATTGATAAAACTTTTTCATTTGTTAATATATCTTAAAAAATTTTTTTTTAATATTTCAATCTTCATTCTTCTATGAGAATATAATTGTAAAAAAAAATATTTTTATTTTATTCTAATTTTAATTTTAAAGAATTTTATCAGTATTTTCATGAAAAGCAAATGAAATTTTGTTTTTGAGACACGATTCGTTTATTAAATTTTTACGTTTTACGTGAAAATATTAAACGAATTTGTTATTGCAAATTTTTCAGAATTGAAAATAAATAAATTTTTAAATAGTTTAATTAGTTTATAACAAATAATTGCAAAAAGAAAATTACTGTTTATACAATTTTTTCTCTCTGGTAATTACAAAAAAAGTGTTGACATTTCTTAAAAAGAAATTTACAGCAAAAATATTTTCTTATCTTGAATAAAAAACAAGATCATCGAAAATATATATTGAGTCTAAAAAACCTCTCTTTTGACACCCCTTTCTTTTTTAATTAACAATTAGTAAAATTCTTAGAAATTTATTAAAAAAATTGTGACTATTTTTTCAAATTTTCAAAATCGAAGAAAGCAAATTTCCAAAAAAAATGAATGATTTAAAGAATATTTTGAACTTAGCACATATTAAATATTAACAAATAAGCTTATGTATTAAAAAAATTTTCGAATATAACGAAAATTTTTTATTTAATTCCCAATTGTGAATAATAAAATTAATAGAACATATTCACCGAACTTCTAAGAAGATGAGAAAAAAATATCCTTGCCACATTTAATATTATAATATTAGAACATAAAAAGAAAATTACAATAAAATCCTGGAAACGTTTCTGAAAATTGTTTTTATCATTATAAATGAGCCCAATTTAAAAATTAATCAACAAATAATCAGAAACGGTTCTTTGATTTCTATTGTTTTTCTTAATAATTAAAAAGGAAAATCCTTAAAAAAAGTTCGTAAATATTTAAAAGAAAAAAACTATAATTCATATAATATACATATTTACATGATAATATATTATAAAATTTCGTAATATGATTATAATATCGAATGTAATAAAATAATTTAAAATAGCATAATATAAATTAAAATAGTATAAAATAATATACGATAATAATAAATAATTACTAATCATAAAATAATACCAAATATCAGAGTAATACAAAAATTTTCAAAATTGTTTAAAAAATATATTTATGCGAGTATAAAATGTAGATAAAAAATATATTTCGAAAATTTTCGTATTTCCTTGAAAAGGAAAAATTATTATTATTAGATTCTTAAGTAATTTTAATAATAAAAATTTAGCTTCGTATTTTCTTTTTTGTTTCTATAAAAATATTTCAAGAATTAACAATTTCGGATAGGTTTCAATATTCTCTGTATGAAAACTCAGGCAAAAATGAATTTTGTATGCGTGTATCGTGATTATATTAGAATAATTACGATTATATTGATAATTAATAATAATTAATTAATTAATAATTGATAATTGCTAATTATGGCTTTTATAAATATACACATAGGTATATACAGAAAAATATTCTTTACTACTTTACAATATATCCAAATATTTAAAAATTTAAATAATTTATTTACTAAATCGGAATTAAAAATACCCCCTCTAATTTCGTCTGATTTAGTAAATATTTTATTCTAATTATACTATTCACAGTTTTAAAAGAAATATAAAATAGTGTTAGTTGAATAATATTTGAAAGATTTCAATCAATAATTTTTTTGCTTCTATAAACAATTCTAGTGAAATTGTTCTTAACAATTAAAGATTCAGCAATTTATTTGTCTAATTAGTAATTATAAGAAATTTTAATCAATTTTTGTAACTTACATGTTACGATTGATGTAATTTTTTTTTCACTCAATTTTTGAATTTAAAATTTCAATCAATTTTCAATCAATAATAATGATAATAAAATTAAATGTTTCATTATTTAATAAATAATTAAAATTGACAGAGAAAACTAGTTTCATAATATCTAATAATGCACGTAATTAATAGAAATTAACAAAAGAAAAACGATAATAAAGTGTGAAGAATTAAAATATATAAAAGCAATGCTCACTTTTATTTTCGAGAACTTCGATTTTGAATTTTCGGGAAAAGAAAAAGTTTTTCAAAAAAAAATATTCGCTGTAAAAATCAATTTAAGGAAATAATACGGCCACCAATCTGATTTATAGCAATAATTAACGTTGCTTAACCACATGGAATATAATTTTAATGCAATTTTCAATAGTTAATATTTTTTAAATTTATTTCAAAGTATTTATTTTTTGATTTCTATTTACTTTTTTAAATAAAATATTTATATAGACGAAATATTTTTTAATTATTAAAGAAAAAAGACAAAAGTTCCTCTCGTAATATTTTCTTGTAAAATGAAAAATTTTAATAACTAATAAAATAATAAATGTTAAAAGTATCATATCAAATCTGAAGATATATTTAAATTCTGATTTTTTATAGAGACAATTTAGAAACTGAAATCAATGAAAATCTGTAGATCTAGACTATAGTTGTAAAAGAAAATATAACCAAAGTAGTACAAATAAATGAAATAAATTCAAATTCTCAGTATAATTGTAGAATCGTCGATAAACGATAATTAATAATTTACAAATAAAATGTGTATTAATTTACTTTATATTATTTTTTTTCTCTAAACACTATATTATTTTCGGTATAATAAATAATTAACAATTATCAGAAGAATTTTCATTATTTTCTCACTCCATATTTTTATGGAAATTAATATTAATTATATACTTTTAATAATACACGCGTCGCCGTAACATTTTTGCCAATCAAGAAATAAATCGCAGCTTTGCGCAGAAGTAAATACAAGGAGTGGGAGTAGTAATGAGAGTGAAAGAGAAACGTCGACAAGTGTCTCACTCTCACTCACTACCCACTTCCCACTCTAGATTTTACTTTTCGCTTTAATCTTCGATTATGTATAAAAGAAACGCGTCGTTGTAAAATTTATAATTAACATAATAATATAATTTCATAATAATATAATTACTTATAATAATTTAAAGAAAAAAAAACAATATATCTACAATTGTCGGAATTTTTATATTTTATTCTATAATAATCTATCATTGTAAATACGAGAGTATGATTATATATTGTTAATTTATAATCGTTATAATAAATACCAATTAAATAATTATAAAAGAAATAAAATTATATAAAGAGCGATATTATAATTATAATGACGTGCACTTAGTCCTGTAATAATTATATATATACGTCTTTGCAATTCGGTGCCTACACGCTGTCAAGCATTACTCTAAAAATAAATACGAGACATATGGCATTAGCGTGCATAATATATGAGATATAATTATATTTCGAAAAAAAAAATAAAAGAAAAGGAGGCTTGACACTATCTGCAGAATATTATCAAAGTTATTCTTATCGTCCTAGGTATACTATTCTAATTTATTATTGAATTTTAATTTTTTATAATTATACATTAATATTTTTAATTATCATTTATATTTCTAATGTTATGACATTTGTAAATTTTATTCATAAATTATTCACAACAAAGTAATTATAATTTATTTCACTATTGAGTCATTTAATAATTAATGGCACATTATTATTTATTTAAAATAATTTTAATAAATTATAATTTTATTTATATATTTATTTAGTAATATTTAGTAATTTATCATTATAATAATTATAATTAATAATAGAATTGATAATTTACATCATTTTAATTATCATACCGTTTACAACAATAAATAAATAAACAGTGATAATAGAAATATTTATTATTTTGATTATTGTAATAATATTTATTATTATTACTACCATTTTTTCTATTATTATTATTATTATTATTATTATTATTATTATTATTATTATTATTATTATTATTATTATTATTATTTTTATAATTATTATTAATGTTAATATTACTACATATTATGAATAATTTTTTTATGTATGAAATATATTGGGAAATTCAAATTATTAAATATGTAACAATTCGAAAAAAATTTATGAATAAAAGTTCCAAATATTAGAATTCTTTAAATTAAAAATTTTATTCCGCTGTTTAGGTAAATATTGTACGAACTCTCATTCCGCACCTTTATTAACGCCTTGATATATCAAATCATATTCAGTCCTGTAGGTTAATAAATAATTAAAATCATAATTAAATTTCGTAATACATTCTCTTTCTCGCCAATACTAAAATTTATTAAATAGTATTTTTAACTGAAAACAATATCTAAGTTAAGGACTGGAAAATTTAATTACATTTTATGATATTAATTATTATTAAAAAAAATTTTTGTTATTTGACTCTAATGTCAGTAAAAAAAAGTTATTATAATATTTCAATAATTATTATTAATAATATTATTATTTATTATATTAATATTAATAATATTCTTGTCATATTAATAGTAATAATATTCTTATGAGTTTACTAATAAAAATAATAAAAATATTATTATTATTATTATTAGCAATAACAGTGATATTATTATTATAATTATTTTTTGTCTCGGAAAAATTAAAATTAATAAAAAAACTTCAGCTATTTTTGCTAAGTAAGTAATGGAAAAAGTTTTTAATTAAAAATAAATTTTCGATTTAATAGAAAATTTTTTAATTTAAATTAAAAATATTTTTTCAAACAAAAAATTCAAAATGATATTTAAAAAAAATTATTAAATTGATTTTTCCAGTCTTTTAGTTATTCGAAGCCAAATGTAATTATCTAATTCTGAAAGGAAATTAGGGGAAGGTTTCTATTTCAGGATTAGATTGAAAATTTATCTTTAATTTATATAATTGAATTTCTTATAAAATATTTTCCATCAACTTTTAATAACATGAAATCTTAAATTGATTTTATGAAAAAAAACATATACCTATGTATATATGTCAACTGGATTGTGGACTCAATTTTTCCAATTTTTCAACTAAATTTTGACCATATGGATAATTTTATAGGAGAAAATATTTCGATTATAATAATAATAATTATTTAATTAATAATTTATTTTTTTTTTAATTTTGTTGATATTCGCTATTTTTCTCTGTTCATGAAATTCAGTAAATTTTTTCAATAGAGAAAAAAAACAAAATTTAATAGAAAATTATTTTTTCAGTATTTTTAATTTTACTAGACACAATGATTTCGCCTCTTAATTTCATTTAATTACATCGACAGAAAAAAACTGTTTTTCCTTTAAAAACTATAAAGAAATTAAGAAGAAAGATATTTTTCCAAACACGTAAATTTTATATTAATTTCTTTTCTTTTTAAATTATTTCTCATTGAAAAATTTATCATTTTATTTCCTGACAAAAATAAATCCGAACTAAAATTTTACTATCAGTGAAAAAAATTTAAACAAAGAAAAAGCAATAATAATAAATACTTGAAAAATAAATTTGTTAATCTAAAATACACAAATCTGAAGAAATAAAAAACCACAAGCGATGATTTCACAATCATTTAATAATTTAATAATTTTTTATTTTTTTTACTGTTACACAAAAATCAACTTTTTTTGTTAGTAAAAAATTTAAAAAAAAGTGACGATTGCTCCAATTATGGGGAAGTATTTGGACAATTGTCACAAAAGTATTTTTAATTATTAAAAAAAAAAAAATTGTAAATTCAAAAAAAAAACATTGTCAGAATACAGATTTGGAAAAAATACAATTTAATATTGACTTTTTCTTATCAAAAGAATAAAATTTATTTAATTTAAATTTTATCGAAATTGTGTACATTTTTTTGTAACTTAATTTCTTTTTTTTTTTGATAGGAGGTTTTGAAATCGTAAAAATATTGGAAAAATTCTATCAAACCAACAATATTAAAAATGAGGAAAAATGAATTTCTGAAATGAAAAACAAGGAAATAATAATATTAATAAAACAAATAATAATAATGAGCCTCCATTTGGATGATAAATTGACAGAATTTAATCAGTACAACAAAGTGTACATATAAGAGATATACATATATATCACTTGAAAGATAAATATGTGAATAAAAAGAAAATTTAACTAAAGACTAGCATTAACACAATCTTCTATTTGAGAATTCTAGTTCTTTACATGTATATTATATATTATATACTATATTATTTATTATATGTTATATATTATATATTATACAGATTGTATACTATAAAAGTTACAGTCGCACAATTCGCGTTTGTATGAAACTTTCTCTTTACTACTGTTTTTTCAGTAACGATCACATCGAAATCGATTAATATTTAAATAAATTTTTCGAATTGCATTCCGAATTTCGATATATATCTATATTATTCCAGTCAACTGTTTGATAAGAGACTTAAAAGCTTTACATCTAACAGCGACTTTAATAAATCTCTTATTCGCTTTAAAAATAAATCCAAACCTTGCGATTGTGCAATAAAAAAAATTCGCAAATCTTAAAATCGAATGCAACATAATTTGAATAATTAAATAGAAAAGTAAAGCAAAAATTAAATTTTAACAATTAGAAAACTTTAGACTAAGTTATAAAAAATTATATATTTATAGTCTCTGAAAATAAAGATTTCAGTTTCTATAGTAAAAAAAAACAATCTATCGGTTTGGAAAGGCGATAAAATTTTTCAACAATCGTTTCTCACTTTCATTGTAATCTATCTCACTGTCACTCTTCAGAATAAACAGTAAATCGAGTTCATTCTAGTCAAATTAGTAGAGAGTAATTAAAAAAAAAGAGAGAGTTATTATTAAAAAAAAAAATAACTTTTAGGCACAAATTTTCAAAGGGATACGAATTTCCAGCGCTTATTGTTATAGAAATAAGTGCGAATAATAGGTGCGGATAGCACGCGAGTCCCTTTTTTTAGCATCGATATTTTATAAGAAAATAAAAAAAAAATTACTTCGGATGTAATTTAAATAATTAATGCTGATTAGCTTGATTATATTCTTAAGCTAATTCGTTAATATCAATCATTATTATTACGTACTTACAATATGTATATCAAACATTACAATTTACGTATAAATAAATAAATAAAGAAATAAATAAATATATATAATATTATATATTTAAAAATATATAAATATTATCTATATAAGAGATAATAAATTATTCTAGTAATGTAGCCTTATCTTATAGCCTTTATATATTAAACTTTTCATTTTTCATAAACTATACAGCTTACACAAAAATTGTACCTTTATCTACTATGTACTTCATACTTAAATAAAATTATTATAACTCTTTCAAGATATTTAATTTAAATCCTTATTTCTTTTCTCTATTTTTTGAGTTAATAAGGTTGTAATAAAAACGAAATTAGAAATTTATTTAAATATAAATCTTATTTTTATATGGATCCGACTTCGTTCTGTTTATTATTCAAACCAGTACTAAGGTGAGAATCTCTACTTTCAGTGATAGTGGAATTTATGTTAAATTAAATTTCTATGTTTTATATATAAAATCAGACTTTTGTCTGAATAAAATGTTTTCAATTTTTTCTAATTTTTGCAAATTGGAAATTACCTGAGTTCTAGTGAGGATCGAGCATTACAAAATTTTGAAGAATAGAAAATTTAAATTCAACTTTTAAGTAGTAGCACACCAACCCGTATATGGTATTAGATAATCAAAATTTTGGGTACGTCGCTTAAAAAATTAATTTTTTCAAATTTTTCTAATTTCTGTCATCTGTAACTGTACCTGAGTTCTAGTTGGGATCGAGCTTTAAAAAAATAAATACATTCTCTTTTTCAAAAATAACTTATTAAATTTTTCTTTTAGGTTCAATTAAACAACTAAATAATTCTTTATTAGTGGTGACATATTATATCTTAGTAGTTCGCACATATATAACTTTAAGGACAGGTAACACTGAATAACAAGTTAAATATTGGCTTTTGTAAGTTTAAAATTTTATTCTATTTCAAATATTTTCTTAAGGGTTTAACATTGGTGATTTTCAAAGGCTTTCTATAGTAATCTTTATATAAATTCTAATAAAAGTAAATTCGATAAATTTTAAGAAATACATTTTTTCCTAAAGTTGTTATCAAATGGAAATTTTTATTTTTTATAATCTACTAAATATTTAAAATGTATATGAATCAATAAATTTTATGCTTTTAAAAATTTTTTTTAACCTTGGTATACCTATTGTTTTTCTATTGAATAACAGGACATAAAAACGAGGGGTTTGATAACTTAAGAATTTGTAAAATATTTTATAAATTACAAATCCATTCTTTTTTCAAAGTTGCATATAGGATTCTGAGCAAAGACAATCTATTGTAATTTGCTAATTTGTGCGTTTGAGAAATATAAAAGTACATTTGATTCCACGAACGTAAGCAATTTTATTTTAAAATATAATTTTAGCAATTGTTTAAATAAAGAATTGTTGTTATTTATTAACTTGTTAATACTTGTTCTAATTTTTTTTAAAAATTTCTTTTTTAATTGTAAATAATAATTAAACGCATAGTGGTATTCTTGTTTATTAGATTACCTACTTTTGATAAATTTCAAAATTAGAAAAAAATTGCGTCTTTCTAGGTGTAATAGAAAAATAAAAACGTTAAGAAATAAAAACAAATAATTTGTTTAAACAATTGCTTACATAGCGATTTGATATTTTATATTTATTTATTATAAGTGGGTTCAAAAATTGCAAAATTAGAAAAAAACACTTCATCTTTCTAGGTGCAATAGAAAAAAAAGTTAGTAAATAACAATAATTAATTGTTTAAACAATGTTTAATTCTAACAATAGCAAATTTAATTTAATATTTTAAATACTTTATTAATTTAGCATTAAATAATACCATTATAAGCTGCTAAATTTATAGAAATTTTCTTTTTTCTATTTTTTTTTTTTTTTGGAATTGTTATAAATTAGCAATAATAAATTGTTTAAATAAATGAAAAATTTATCGTAACATTTATAAATTAAATTACTAGGCAACATAAAAGAATTATAGGAAAAAATTTCCATGATTGCAAGGTTCTTTTTAAATATACAAATAAAAAATCATTACAGGGTAAAAAATACCCTACCTTACGCTCAGTGTTACAAAATTCAACCTTACGATCGCCGGATTAATAAAATTGTACGCAAACATTTAATTATTTTCATAAATAATAAAAATTTCGCAGGAATTCAATTATTTACAATAATTTTTTATAAGTTTCTTCTTAATAATAATTCAATTATCTTCATAAATAATAAAACTCATCAGCGAATTGCAATTATTTTTAATACAATTTGAATTTGAATTTCTTGAAAAATGTAACTATTCTTAAAAATTTTATTAAAATTCGTCAAAAGAATATGATTATTTAAACATTTGGTAATAAAATCCTTTATAAGAATTAAATTTTAAGAAACATTCAATTATTCAATAAATAATTTATGTTTGTATTTAAAAATGAATTTTAGTTAAAGTTTTTTTTATCTTTAAGAAAATAAGAAACATTTTTATTTTTCCTATGAGTTTAAAGAAATGAATATATTTTTTTCCTTTTAAATCATTAAAGTTTTTGCCTTTTATGCTCAAGATAATTTAGTTTTTAGAAATAAAATTATTTACTCAATTCGTGGAATTTTTTTTTTTTTTTTTTCAACGAATTTGTGGATTTATTTTCTTGCCAGCGTAATCTACATGGAACATGGTTTTAATAGACGTCACGATTTTTTTAATGCTTTTAAAATATTTCTTCTTTCTTTTCTGCAAAAAAAAAATTTTTTTCTTATAATTCTACTCGATGCACCTGTTTTTTTCTGTTGATAAAAGTAATAAGTATTATTGTCGATGTATTATATGTGCTTTTAAAAATTGTTAAATGATAAAAATTCGTTAGATTTCTGCATTGCTTCGTTGGAGTTTACAACGAGTGTACTAAAATGATGTTTGTCTAATTTTTCTTGTTTATAAAAAGACGAAAAGAATTATCACCAGTATCGTAAGTACTAATTTTATTAAAAATATTTTATATAAATTATTCCAATTATTGAAATTATTATATTTAATTTGGGGAGTTTTTTTTTTAGAAAAATAGAGTAAATTTATTCAAAACCTTTTGCAAATTATTAAATATAATTTCAATAACATTCTGCAATTTTTGCAGATTTGATTTAATAAATCAAAAAATTGATTTATTAAAAGATTAAGTTAAAGCGAAGTTCTATATAAATTTGTTGAGAGTCAATAAAAACGTTTTAAAATGTTTCCATAATGTATAGAAATAAGAGTAAATTTTTTTAAATAAGTACTTGGGCTAGGGATTGGTTGTAACACTTTTTAAATTATTGTATTTATTATAAAGTTTATAGAGTATTTGGTAATATTTTTTTCATTAAATAATAACGAATTTTAAATTATATAAAAAAATTCAAATTATAACATTAATGTAACAATATAAAAAGTAGCTAAATAAAAGAATCAACGATTTTTCTAGGTCATTTATTTTTTTCATAAATGGTGCTTTTTTCGATTTTTGTTTACAACCTTCTACATTACCACAGAATACTCCTGCTAACAAATCCACACTTTCTCTCCACTTTCAACTACAGAGTACTAACATAAATAATGTGATCAAGGGGTGCATGATTATTCCCCAAATGTCATTTTTCCGAAATGTCATTTTACCGAACTGCACTTTTGCGAATACTCATTTTTGCGAAAAGCCAATTTTGCGAAATGCCACTTTTGCGAATTGTCATTTTTTCGAAAAGCTATTTTTGCGAATTGTCATTTTTGCGAATCGCCATTTTTACGAATTGTCAATTTTCCGAAAATTTATTTATGCGAATCGCCATTTTTACGAATTGTAATTTTTTCGAAAAGTCATTTTTGCGAATTGTCATTTTTGAGAAATGTCATTTTTGCGAATTGTCACTTTTGCGAATCACCATTTTTACGAATTTCCATTTTTGCGAAAAATTATTTTTGCGAATTGTCATTTTTGAGAAATGTCATTTTTGCGAATTGTCACTTTTGCGAATCGCCATTTTTACGAATTGCCATTTTTACGAATTGTCACTTTTGCGAATAGTCATTTTTGCGAAAAGTTATTTTTACGAATTGTTATTTTTGAGAATTGTCATTTTTGCGAATCGCCATTTTTACGAATTGTCAATTTTCCGAAAAGTCATTTTTGCGAATCGACATTTTTACGAATTGTCAAATTTCCGAAAAGTCATTCTTGCGAATTGTCATTTTTTCGAAAAATACAATAGAAAACTTGTAGGTCTATAAATTCACTATTGTATTTTTCGCAAAAATGACAATTCGCAAAAATTACTTTTCGGAAAATTGACAATTCGTAAAAATGTCGATTCGCAAAAATGACTTTTCGGAAAATTGACAATTCGTAAAAATGTCGATTCGCAAAAGTGACAATTCGCAAAAATGTAATTTCTTTAAAATGACCATTCGCAAAAATGGCAATTCGTAAAAATGACTTTTCGCAAAAATGGCTTTTCGCAAAAATGACATTTCACAAAAATGTCTTTTCGTAAAAATGACAATTCGCAAAAATGAGTTTTCGAAAAATTGGCAAATCGTAAAAATGACGATTCGCAAAAATGACTTTTCAGAAAATTGACAATTCGTAAAAATGGCCATTCGCAAAAATAGCTTTTCGCAAAAGTGACATTTCGCAAAATTGTCTTCTCACAAAAATGACTATTCGCAAAAGTGCAGTTCGGTAAAATGACATTTGGGGAATAATCATGCGTCCCGTGATCAAACCCTTAAAACTATCTTTCATCTCTGAAGTTTGATTTTTTACAATCTTTCTTAATAAAATACCTTTTACCAATCATTTCTAACATTTTTCTACAAATATTTAACTATATCTTAAATGCCGAACATTTTCCCGATTTTTGGAAGGTTACAAAAGTTTTCTCTATTTTTAAATCCGAGAATATTCACCAAATTACAAACTATCGTCCAATATCCGTCATCACAAATTCCACATCTATCCGCCAGGTCAAGCGAAGCCCACATAAAAAAATTGGTGGCTACCTCAAGACTTACTTAAGGCTCAAAACTTCTTTGAAGCTAAAAACTCGTCCAAAACCTAAGACAGAACTTAGACATAAGGCTCTCTTAAGGCTCAAGGCTCACTTAAAGCTCAAGACTTGTTTAAAGCTCAAAACTCGTCTAAAACTTAGGACTGAACTTAGACATAAGGCTTACTTAAGGCTCAAGACTTGTTTGAAGCTCAAACCTCGTCTAAAACTTAGGACTAAACGTAGAAATAAGACTTGCTTTAGGCTCAAGGTCACTTGAAGCTGAAGACTTGTTTGAAGCTAGAAAGTCGTCTAAAACTTAGGACTGAACTTAGAAATAAGGCTCGCTTTAGGCTTAAGGCTCACTTAAGGATCAAGTTTTGTTTGAAGCTAAAAACTTTTTTAAAACATGAGGCTCGATTAAGGCTCAAGGCTCACGTCTTGTTTAAAGCTAAAAACTAGTCTAAAACTTAGGACTGAACTTAAACATAACGCTAGCTTGAGGATCAAGGCTCACTTGAAGCTCAAGACTTGTTTGAAGCTAGAAACTAGTCTAAAACTTAGGACTGAAGTCAGAAATAAGGCTCGCTTTAGGCTTAAGACTCACTTAAGAATCAAATTTTGTTTAAAGCTAAAAACTTTTCTAAAACTTAAGACATGAGGCTCACTTAAGGCCCAAGTCTTGTTTAAAGCTAAAAACTCGTTTACAACTTAGGACTGAACTTAAACATAAGGTTAGCTGAAGGATCAAGGCTCATTTAAAGCTCAAGACTTGTTTGAAGCTAGAAAATCGTCTAAAACATAAAACTTGATTAAGACTTAGTTATGGCCAAGCTCATACTGGCGATTCACACGCCAACTGGCGTCGCTGTCTCTGCAGTCGTTGCAAGCACCGTGAGGTGGTGCTATCCGTGCTTTCGTGGTCGTGGCGACAACTCGCTTCTCATCACTGGTCCCTTTCGAATTCTCGCCCCAGATCATCTTATGATTGTGAGCCGTAATACAATATATTTGAAGTGTGGATTTTCGGTTTTAATGCAAGATTTAAGGTAAATCCGGGCTTGGCCACGTAAAATATAAAATTAGAAAATAAATATTTATTTTTCTATTGATTTTATTTTTCCGATCGCGAGACTTTATATGAAAGATCAGTAATGTTAGATAACGGATAGGAATAACTAACTTCCTGGGATGATATTTTGAATTTGATAGATAATGTAACTTATACATTTTTGGCATTTACTGTAACACGTGAAAACATTCTGAGACGAAACATAATTGTTATTTGACAAAAGTATCATACAAGAGAATATTTTACTATCAGGACCCAGGTGGAAAAGTTTACGTTAGTAAACGTTAGCTAATAATACTAAAGTTAGACTAAAGTTAATCTAACGTTAGTGACCAAAAGTCTAACGTTTGGACCATACATGGGTAACGAAATAAGTTTACAAGTAAGATATTTGCAAGTTACAACAAAAGCAAAGAAATATTGTCATTGTGCCGCATTTAACAATTATAAAAGCAAGTATTGAAGTAGTGCTCAATGGTAGAAGTAAATTTCGATAAGGAAGAGAAAAATAAGTCTAAATCAAGTTTCCTGTGTAAATATAACTGGTTAATATGATAACAAGAGCAGTTTTGAACAAAAATATTGTTGCTCTTAAGATACGTTTTTCATTAATAATAATTGTCCTTAAGCTAAACCTTCTACACAAACATTTATAGTCAGAGCCCTGTTAAGGATAAACGCCATCCATCGGAGTTAAATGAAAGGTATTTTAAGAATCGTTTTTTAATTTTCTCAACTTCATCGCTGTATTTGTTAAAAAACGGAATAGCAATTGCAAAAGCATATGTCATGCGTGAGACTATAAATGAATTAAATAAGATGATTATCGTTGACTGATTATTAAAGAATTTTGTAGATCTAAATAGGAAGCCCAGGGATCTCAAGGCTAATGCAACTGTCTTAGTGATGTGTTCTTTAAAAGATAGCAAAGGAAATGGAAGTAGTATCGTCGAGGGATTTTTTTACACGAAAAAGTTTCACATCATCTGCGAAAAGTAGGATGTAGGAGTCGATATTTCACGTAGACGGTGAAGAGTGGAGAACCAAGAGAGGAACCTAGTAGGAAGCCCGTAAGAGGAAAAATTTGTAGGAAGAGAGGTTACCTATCGTGACCTGGTGTCACCTATTTTGATAAGTAGTTTAAGATTAAATCTTAAAGATTGTGAGTTAATTCAAGATTATTACTAGGTGTAACGTTATTACTAGGCCGTTTAGTAGTTTTACAATGTTTAGAAAATAAGTCAGCGAAGGCATTAACAATAGACGACGGAGTATCAAATGTGATGTTTTTAGAGTACATAATAGCAGGGATGACAGGATTTTATTTTATTAAGTGGTCAAACCGTAGAGGAAAACGATGCTTATGATTAGAAGGTTGCTTGAAAAGTGGAATAAACTTACAAAAAGCACCGTTAATTATTGACAAAAAAGCGTTAGACATTGTATCGACTTCGGTAGTATGATTAAGGTCTGACCAGTCAATTGTCCATAAATGAACGTAGAGTCCTCGTAGATCTGCTTTTCGAAAGTTAATTTTTAATGTTGTATAAGGATATGGACTATGAAAGGACTTAAAGGAAGAATAGTAAAATTTGTGGGTAGATTCATACTTGGCTTCAATAAAAAGTAGGGCAAGATATTTATCAATTGGGATAATCTGCCTTGGTTGTATTACATTTTACAGAACTGCATTCAAGGTCAAATAGTTTATCTGAACAGTTAAAATTAAAGTTAGTTTGTTGTAATGAAAAAAGATGAAGACATTTGAAATCACCTGTAAGATGTAAGATTATAATAGTTTTTTTGTAGTCGGAAGTAAAATATCTGTCAATTCAGATACCTGGATAAAGAATCCCAGGTTATGTGGGGATGACC